TTTTTTTTCAAATTTCAGGCCCCAAAATTAAGGTGCGTCGTCTCTTACCCTCATTTCCAGCTGAGCGGAAGTGGCTTGCTCAAGCTCACCTCTGGAAGTCTGCTTTGGCCTTTGAGTTCCTGTTAGTTTTGCAGAAAATAAAGCTGGTCCAATCTGGCTTGTCTTAATTTATGAGGGAAAAATGACCAAAATCCTATGCTTTCTGGAAGTAATTAGCTTTCTGCCTGACATCATTTATACCTGAAGTAACAACTAAATCTTTATAAAGTTTGATAACTGGTATAAAATGTTCTTGAATCATCAACAAAAATTAAAATTGCACCAGGCAAGGAAGTAAACAGCACATTACAGAAATGGGTTTTGGTTTTACAATCGGTAAAGAAAAAAAAAAAATCTAATGAAATTTAGTAATGAGAATGGCATATATCCCCAAATGGTAAATAACCAACTCCAGGAAGAGTGGTTATGACAAGTTACAGAAATGTTCGGCTTTAAAACCCCATATCACATTTTCACTCAGGCCACATTTTATGTCGTCTATGAAAACACAGGCCTAATTGCTCTGGGGTCACTGCTAAGTCATGCTGTTCTTTCACTAACACTTTTTCTCGCCCTCTTATAGCCAATAACATGCTCGGTTTTGGAACACTGGTCAGTACTTCCAACGCCTACGATGGATCTGGTGTTGTCACCGTGGAGACGGACCACCCGCTTCTCTGGACCATGGCCATCAAGCCCTAACCCCGGAGTGCCAGTCCCAGCCGTGCCTCTAACTTACCTCCTCGGCCACCGACTCACTGCTCGACCAGAACAGCTCGCCTGCTTGGCAGGAATCTAGCCTCTCCATGCAAGCGCGCTGGTTTTAAAGCTGTAAATGCTCAGATCATCCAGGGGACATAAACGNCGAATCTAAGTTTCCTAAATGTTGAGCCGCTCAATGTGTTGGACAAGTTCTCTGGGGTAGAAGTTACAAGTAATGAGTGAGGGAGTGACGTCAGCAGGATGGAGACACAGGCCACGCCCAGCTTCAGCCCCTCCCACGACGCCGCGGTGAGAACCGCAGACCGTGGCGGAGGAGGGGCTGAGAGGACTGCGTGAGACGGGTGAGAGGACGTCATCGCTCCTTCCTGCGGCTGGCGCAGCAGTCTCACCAGCGGGGTCCCCCAGGAGGAGAGGAATAGACCCCAAGGTGGACACAGCTCCCCAGCATTGTGGGCTGCTGCTCAGGAGGCCAAATCTGGTCTCACTTCCCGGGGGAGGCTGTGGGGCTTGACCACTGGGAATTAGGTTGTGATGGAGAAGGGAGATGTGGCACGGCCACCAGCACTTGGATCCTGGCAGGCTGTTTCTACTCGCACTGGTCCCCAGGAGAAATCGCAACCAGAGGCTCCGCTTACCTGCAGAGCCCAACTGGCAGCCCAGTCTGACCAGGGAACTCGGCAGAGCACAGACCTTCCTGACTTGGGCCCATAGACAGTGAGCCATGCCAGCCTCAGAGCTGGCGGGGCCGCTGCTCCGGGAGGAAGCTAACTCACAGCCCCGCCACCCAGGAAGCTTGGCTGGGCACCTGGCAAGCTGCTTAGCCCAGCAGCACTTGAGCAGAGAGCCTGGCTGGCAGTAGCACCCCATCCGCAGAGCCGTGATGGTGGCCCCGTTGAGCCGGGCAGCCTGGTGCTCAGTTCTGCGGCCCCAGCTGGGGAGGGGAGATCATTTAGTCCTGCCCGCTGCTGAATGGCGCCTCCAGGCCCACCTGACCAGAACACCTAACCACAGCCCAGCCCACACTCCCACCTCCACTGGCCGTTGAGTGCAGAGCCCAGCCGGTGGTCCTTTCCATCTGCACAGCCAGGAAACGCAGTGCATCATGCTCCCTAATTGGGTCCCCAAACAAGAGCCTTGGGGCCTGT